TAAGGAATATTTTTTTGATTTTTAAGAGTAATAACTTAAACTAATCATTAACTTAAATATCATAAACTTAAATGAATCATTTGACGTATCGTTGAAAAAAGTAGGTCTAGTGAGGGTTGGCAAAATAAATCGTAGCCAGAAAAAGAACCACATAGTAAAATAATATTAACATGAATATCAATTTCTTCTCACGAGGGGAGACTATAGTGATAAGATCCTTTATATTTATTGAAATTATTGAATCTAAATGAGATAAATATCAAATGATTTGAAAATTCTATTCTAACTCAAAAAAAAAATGCAAAATTTTAGAAGCCACAAACGGATTTGAACCTCGTACCCTAGGCGTTAAAGATCAAGGTGTTACCCATTCGGCAACTATTCGTTGATTTTTGTTGCATGATAAAATTGGCTATTTAAGCTAACTCAAATTTAAAAATTACTTTTTCGACTTTAAAAAAGTAAAAAATGTTAATAAGTATAATATCATATGTCTTATGAACTTTATTCTATGTCAATGAAATTATATAATATTCATGAAAGTCAGTTTATTCCCCTAATAAAATATTTTAAAATAAAATAAAATACAAAACCTAGAATTTTAATAAAAAATAGCATATTTTTAAATACGGTAGCCTTTTGCGCATAGAAGATAGGTCGTCGGGACAAATTTTTTTTTTTCATTTAGTAGTACATAAAATAAGCTTTAATTTGATATATGTTTAAAGGACGCAGTATTTCCGGAACATTTTCAAAAATTAAGTTGAAAAAGTTAGTTTTTGTAAAAAAGTTGCTATTTTAAATCCCCCCTGTGAGCAGAATAAGTGTTAGATTTTCAAAAAAAAATGATATCAAATGAAAGAAAATTACCTAAGGTTTCAATATAAAGAAATATTATTTTGATTAGTTAATATTTGAAAAAGTTATGGCAGTTTTAAGTACAAAAAACATCGTTATAAAAGGTGATTTTTATCGCAAATATTACATTTTTTTTATAATTTCGACAGCCATTTGCACATAGAAGATAAGGTGTCGGGACAAATTTTTTTTTTTCATTTTATAGTACATAAAAAAAGCTTTAATTTGATATATGTTTAAAGGACGCAGTATTTCCGGAACATTTTCAAAAGTTCAGTTGAAAAAGTTCTATTTTTTATACAATGTTTCAAAGTTTGAACCCCCCCTATATAAGGGGAAATTGTCTAATTTTAATAAAAAGTATGTCAAATGGAAGATGTACTTATAATGTATTTAGAAAAAAAAAAATTGTGCTGATACATGCATTTTTCGAAAAGTTATAGCATTTTTAAGTTGAAAATTAAAAATTGAAAATCGAAAATTTTAACACAAAAATAGTGTTTTTTTAACTACGGCAACCGTTTACATGCAGAAGATAAAGTGTCGGGACAAATTTTTTTTTTTCATTTTATAGTACATAAAATAAGCTTTAATTTGATATATGTTTAAAGGACGCAGTATTTCCGGAACATTTTCAAAAATTAAGTTGAAAAAGTTAGTTTTTGTAAAAAAGTTGCAATTTTAAATCCCCCCCCATGAGCAGGTTAAGTGTTAAATTTTCAAAAAAATTATATCAAATGAAAGGAAAATATCTAAGGTTTTAGTTTAAAAAAAAATTATGTTGATTTGTTGATTTTTGAAAAAGTTATGGAAGTTTTAAGAAAAAAAAGTGAAAAAAATGACAAAATTTGTCGATTTTTAAATTTGTAATTTTTTTGGATATTTCCCCCATTTGCGGGGAACGAGGGAAAATTTTTAAATTTTTAAGGGTAATGTCTTCAACTAGATACAATTTGTGATCTTTTGACGTATTGTTAAAAGAAATCGGTCCAGTGAGAGCTGAGAAAAAGTAGTGACAGACACAAAAAAAAAAAAAAAAAAAAAAAAAAATAAACACATCATGGTAAAATTAATACCTTCTCAGCTTCGCATCGAAGCTAAAATCTGTGCGTGTTCATAAACGTATATATGAAAGGTATTAGTATAATCATTCAAAAATAGTAAAATGACCCCCACAATAAAAATTGTCTTAGCGCCTCTGTGTGTGTTATACACAATTTCTTTTATAAATGAATTCTTGTAGAATTATTGATTATTTAACCACTATAAAATAAATGTTTAATTACATTAATTAATTACTCATTCCATACGAATATCAGATTGATTTTTTTTTATAAAACAAGTAGGTCAAAGCATGTAAATAATAGAATATTTATGTATTATCTAAATCAATATCTCTATTAATTTTTTTTTTTTTAATATAATTATATAAATTGATCACNTATCTCTATTAATTTTTTTTTTTTTAATATAATTATATAAATTGATCACTTTTGGCTAATATGATTTAAAATAAAAAAATATATATTTATGTACTCTAAAACAAATCAAAAGTTTTTTATTTTTTCGAAAGTTTAAAGTTAAGGATAAGGTCTTTTTGCATAAAGCCCTTTTTAAATATTAATTTAAAATAATATTTAAAAGCCACAAAAAATTACTAAAAAATCATGTATTCATATTTTGTCAATAATGTCACTATTATCAACGCCAAACACATACTGATACACCGACCGAAAAAAAACTCTTGTATAACACTAGTAAACTTATCACCTAGTGACATGATTTTTAATGTTTCTTAAGTGTTCTTTTAACCCTTACATTTCTTCTCAATTGTCCCACATAACAAATATTATTTAGGACAAAAATTTATTATTAAGAAATTTAGGAGTCAGGTTTAAAAAACATAAAGAAATATAAAAAAGATTAAGAAGTGATAAATCTCCTGTGGCTGAACATCTATGAACACATAACCACTCCATTAAAACCATAAAACTTATTAAAAACGTAAATACACATTTTAAACGTTAAGGTTATTATGGATATACATTTTTTGGTTTAATACAAACTATCAAAAACTTTAGAAAAATAAATGAAAAAAACAAATATTTGTATTATAAATACCATAGATATTTTCCTTCTATTAAGTATATTATATGGGAACTCTGTCCATTTACAGAGGGGATTTTAAAATATCGTGTTTATATAAAAATGAACTTTTTTAAACGTTTTGGAAATCCGGAATTTTTTTTTGTACATCAATTTGCATAGCATGTTTAAAAAGTAAGGAAAAGATTTTATATTGTTCTCATTATTTGTAACAACTGACCTGTTTCCTTACTTACTGAACACTCTTTATAATTTTAATACATTTTTGCCATAGTGAGGACTAATTATACAACTATTTTTTTATATTTCATAATTTCATATTAAATATAATCACTAAAATAAAAATTTTATCACGTATTATAATTATAGATCATAAAAATTGTAATCAGGATTTAATATAGGAAATAAGAGTTTATGTCAAGGGTCGAATAATATTTTCTTAGTTTAATTTTTCAAGATATTATAACGTTTTTTTATAATTGAATTTAATGGTAATCATAATTTAAACACTTTATAATATTTATGTTTACCATTTTTAGTATTAAAACGTGAATCATTTTTATCGTTTAACATTGAAAATTTTTGAAACTCATTCACTACCATAAACAGTTCTTAATATAAGTAAATAATTACTTTTATTTTACATGGAATTTTTTGTATATGTTTGAAAATGTTATTTTTGTTTTAATATTATGTTAATAAAATTTATGTTATAAGTTGCATTATATTAAACAATATTTTACGTTTACTGATATCACATATTTTTGGGTTTTGATTACATTTTACCAACATTTGTTATTATTAATGTTATTTATAACGTTGTCATGCCCTGGTTGGTGTTTCTTTGGAATAACTCAATAACTCCTTTTATGATGGTGATTTTAATCACTATCATATTACAATCATTTTCATACAATAAAATATTCTTAAGTATAAAACTAACAATAAATATATGTAATAATATATCATACAAAGTGTTCAGTAAATAAGAAAACAGGTAAATTGTTACAAACAATGATAATAATAGATACACATTTCCTTACTTACTGAAAACTATATACAGGGTGTTCAGTAAATAAGGAAACGAATTTCTATTGTACTCATTGTTTGTAACAATTTAACTGTTTCCTAACTTACTGAACAATCTGTATATGTCCTAACTATGCCATGACCTTTTTTTAAAATTTGAATAGAGTATTTATAAACTCCTAGAGACAGGTTACAAGTATTTTAGAATTATAATAGGTTTCGTCTTGAGGGATATACGGAAAAAAATTATATCATTAATTTGTAATTACTTGTTATCACGCCAGTAAAATATATCTGTTAAAAAAAAATTATAATAAAAATAAATATTACATATTAAATATTAAATATGTTCACTTATGAATTAAATTTTTACATATTTAAAAATCTTGGAAAATTTTAGAAAATGAAATAATTTTTTCAATTTATCACAAAGCCTTATAATATAACGCTTACAATATTTTGGCTTAAACATTACAAAAAAACTCGTACAAATTTGTATTTTTTTAAGACGAGTTTGTAATGGTAATTTTGTAACATAAATTTTTATTATTTGTTTCCAAGGATTGTTTAAACAGCATTCCTGTATTTTTAATATACGATTTCTATTCTAACTCTTTCACAAATCAATGGTCTCTTCAAATTACGTTAAATGGATTAATACGACTTGCAAAAATGTATTGATTTGTACAACAAATATATTCCATTTAAACTCAACAAGATTACAAATACCAAACACTATCATTTCCTCGGAACAATTTATTGTATTAATTAATGTACATCAAATATGTTTTTAGTATTCAAATTTTAATTAATAAATTGTAGTTTTTTTTAATGGAACAAATAACGATAAAAATGAAAGTTTTTAGATGTTTAAAAGTTATCAGTATTTTATCATTCAAAAGGTCGAACAAAATAGAATATGTTTATACCAGTATTTACAAAAATAGTTCTATGTAATTACCGTCATATTTATGTATTTAAGTTGATAAGTATTAAGAAAAATTCATTCCAGATATAAGTATAAATAAACCAATAACCATCTGATTTATTTCATTGCTGTTAGTATCCTATTTGTGTGGACGTAGTGTCATTGCACCAACTGCTACGTTTGGGTGTTCTAAAAAAAATTAAGTATGGTAGATCTATATGTAGAAAACAACTTGGAAGCTTTAAGCTTGTCCAATTATGCATTTTCGTTAAAATTTTATGCAGTAAATATCATATACTTTTTACATTTTAAATTAATTTACTACAAATTGATTTTATGTTTTAGGAATTCAGAAATTATGAGGATAATATATTTTATTCGCCATTAAATATCCATGTACTTATGTTTATGGCCAGTGTTGGAGCTGCAGCTGGAACTTTTGATGAAATGTTTAATTTATTACATTTAAGCAAGAATAACACAATTGAACTACTAGATACTTACAGACGTTTATATAAACACTTAGAAGTAATTTATAATTAAAGTAAATTTATAATACCTGAATACATCATGCCATGTTATCATTTATTACAGCAAACAAATATTATTTATTTAAACACTATGCAGTGGCACAACTACTGAGGATGCTAGGGAGTCTTTAAGCACCTCAATCTTGATTTTAACGCCTATAATATCTCGTGTCTTATCTTGTTTTTAATAACTATAGTTTAATTATTTGTTTTCTGATCTTTTTTTACTGTTACATTTTTATTTTTCAATTAATTAAGTGGGTAATGATTAAGTGATCACTCTGTATGTATATGAAGTACTGAATAAAAAATAAATTATTTTTGGCAAATACTTGATTGTAATTTTACTTAAGTCAATTAAATTTACACAGATAATAATACTGTAACAATAAATATAATGCTAAGAGATAATTAAAAATTCTAAAATCTATAAGAAACAATATTTTTTAAATCAAATTATTATAGAAATTTTTTTTAATTTCACTTAGTCTTTAACAATAGTTACTTTTTTTTAGCTAAAATTCATTTGCCATATTCAATTAGGGTTGCCGAGGTGATACTTTTACCCTTCGGTATTTTGACAGAAGTGCTCCTCTACTCCTTTGTTCCGGCGTCACCGAGTTTTGCCTTCTTATTATGTTTAAAACACTTTTATTTTTATTTAACACTAATAAGAAAAAATATATAATTAAACATTTTTTTTAAATTTAAAATTAGTCATTTTTATCCCTATGGTTACAAAAAAATTTAATGGGTCGATAGCAATTTTAGGACAAGTATATTAATACATAGAACGTGTATGGAATACAAATATAGTATAAGTACATAAGTGGGTACGAGCTGCAACTACTCTATAAACGCTTGTAACTTTTTCTTATTAGTGATAAAATATAATAAAAAAATGTTTTAAACATAATTTAAGAACATAATAAATATGGTAATTTTAATTTTACAGGAAAATCATGCTTTAAAGGCAGCAAACGGAATTTTTATTGATAAATCGTTTAATGTTAAGCAAAACTACTTGGATGATACAAAAAAACATTTAAAAATTGGTTTTGAAGAATTAGATTTTCAAGGGAGACCAGAAGAAGAACGGCTTCATATAAATAACTGGGTTGAAAATAATACGTATGGCAAAATTCATAACATTTTAGCTCCAAGTGTGTAATTAAATATTTTATATTGCAACTGAAAATTATTTTTTGAATTTAAGAAAAAATACTCAAGTTACAACAATATTAATCTACAAAGATCCGATTATTAAACCACTCAATTGCGCATAAATTAAATATACTTAAAAAGTTTGAGTTAAAAAACTAAACATTTTTTTATTTACCTATATTTTTGATTAATAAGTTTTTAATTACTTTTTAGAATCATCTCTTATAACTTATTGGTTGAATTTATCATTTTAAACATACATCTATAACTTGCTTATAAAACAATAGATATCTAATTTAAAAATATGACGAGTCAATAAAAACTTTTAGAACAATACTTCAGAATTTATAAATATTTTTATTCCTGAGCACGGAAAGAGGGCGGCCGAAATTAGTCTGATAGCAATACTTGTGGTCGGTAATCTGAGTCTATATTTTAAACCGTCATAACTTCTAAATTATTGGTCCAAAAGTTGTGATCTATTCGTTATTTTCTTAATTAGATTATTTCTTATTTAATAAGTTAGTTAAATATGTATGTTGTTATTTAAGAAAATAAAGTTAACATCCCACATATTATAAAGAATGATGCTAAGAAGTAATTAAGAGCTAATTAAAAAAATGTATGTAACTAAACACATCAAAAATTGTTTTTCAATATTGTATTTATTTTATGAGTAATTACGTGGTTTGTGATTAAAGTATCACTCGACTACAGGTCTTTTCCAATTTAATCATTTCTATGATAAATTTAATTAAAGTAGAAAGAGTAAAATATTTTGCATAAAATTATTAAAAAAATAACTTTTTTAAGTCATCTTAATAGAATATATTTTTTCTCAAATATTATACCTTTTTAAGAGGAGAAAAATCATTTTATAAAATTGACATTTGTTACCTTTTACCTACAACTGTTCTCATGCTTCATAAAATTGTATTAATTAACTTTAAAAATAATTAATACATTATACTATTTTTTCAATTAAAAATTTATCATTTTCTTATAGATACGGTTGATCAAAGCACAACTATGATAATGATTAATGCTTTACATTTTCATTCACCCTGGCTATATAAATTCGATGAAGCCAAAGATGAACCATTTTACATTACTCCTACGACCACAACTAATGTTAAAATGATGAGTCTCACTGCAAATTTAGGTTTATATCGAAATGAAGCTGCCAAATATTCAGTAATAAAGATACCTTACGAAGTAAATATTTTTTATTTTCAAAACTATAACTATAGTCTCTTTTATAATCAGTATTTAACTTAAAAACTTTATTTCTAGAAAACCAATTTCAATATGTTTATTTTATTGACCGATTCTAAAGATGGTTTAAAGGAAGTTGAAGCAAATATTCACAAAGTTCATTTGACTGATATTACAAAGGGTATGAAAATGCATAATGTTAATTTAAAACTTCCAAAATTCACGATCGTTACTCAAACTTATGACTTTAAAGATATACTATCCAAAGTAAGTAAAACTATTTTAATAACTTTACTGTAAGAAATTATCACTTTTTTTCGTCACTTTTAGATACAAGTAGTGTAATTTTAACACAAAGTACCGATTATTCATACAAAAATATAACATTTTTATCATAATTTATCAAAAATTTACTTTACATTATATGCGTTAAAATGTTCCAGTACTTTACAGGTGAACTTTGATTAACCGTCACTCGTTTATACATTATCAAAGTTTAAGGACATATCTAAACCAAATCAGCGTAGAGTAATGAATTATTCATTAGGCCTACAATTCATGATTATGGTTTGGATATGTCTTTAAACATTGATTACTGATAAACGAGTGGCGGTTTAAATTCCACTGTATAAAAAATTCGGACATTAAAAGAGTATTGTTATAGTATTTTATTGTTATTATATTATAATACTAATATATTGTTATATATTAGTAGTATTAGGGTCGTATCTGAGAATTGTTTTGTCCTGTTAGATTTTGCCGTCCAATATAAAAAATGATTTTTTGGTGTTCTTTTTTTGAAAAAGATGAGTTTAAAAAAGATCTTACATCCATGAAATTTACATAAATGTAGCATTATCTTTAAGACACATATACCACTCAAATAAAAATACGACTCTAAGTAATAATATTTTCAAATGAATAAAAATAAAAGCTCTACTAAATTTTTCCACAGATTGGTGCCCCAACCATGTTTACAGAAAAAGCAAACTTCTCTGAAATAGCAACTCCATCTGAAAGACCACTTTTTATCAATAAATTCATACAGAAAACACATATTGATGTTACTGGAGATGGATCTGACAATTATCGTACAAATAAAAACAGTAATTAATTCCAGATAATTTTATACATTTCATACGCTAACACATTATAAAATAGATTCCATCAACCATGTGTTTTGTAATATGCATATTCGTCGCTTCTTTACGAAAAATTTAAAAGAAGACTAAATAGTACAAAAAGAAATTTTTCTCTCGATCGATTTAGTATTAGTAATATTGCAAAGATATTCTTTAATAAATAATAATCAGTAATATTATTTAATAAATGAATTTCTCTTTATTTAAAACAAAAAGTGCGTGATTGAGAGCTAATAATTAATAAAAATATAATATAATAAATTAAGTTAGTTAAATAAAATACATCTAACACATGTTTAAATCAGTCTATTTAAAAATTATCATTCAATTATAATTCAGAATAATATTTAGTTATTCTTCTAGTTTAATGGGCGACTATATTTCTATTACTGCAGGCATGTATATGAATAATTTTTACTCAAAATTTACCAAAAACATCATATTGAATAAAAACATGAAAAACTTTTTAACAAAATTATTTTTTAGTACTTATCTTTAGAAATAATAGAATGCTATATAATGTCCTTCTAAGTCTAAAAATCGACAAAATAGTAATTTTGAGATGAATATTCTTTTAAAAATTTGTAAATTTGATAAAACTTTTTAAAAAAATTTCTCATTGCAAAATTGTTTATATGTAATTTAAGGAAAGTGGAATGGTCATTATGTATTTCCCCCTTCTTGTTGAATAATCTATTATCCACAATTATAATGTGATAAAATAATTTCCCCTTAGATTATTCATGATAGTTTATGTAATGTAAACGGTTGTATATTAAGTAAGCAATTGGGGTAGTTGTCTCCGTGACTTGCTCTAGTCCAAATTTTATGAAGCCGATAATTAAATAGGGTAAGACGGTCTAAAATGACAAATGGAGAAAGATGACGAATTCAAATTTCTTAATATCAATCTCATATAGCAGTACATTATTCTATCTAGTGTAAAGCCTCTTAAGATACACTTCGTTCTTAATAGTAAGAACACACGTACGCGCACGTTTATTTTTGAAGTGGATAGAAATTCATATTTAACGTGTTATGATGTTTGTTCATCAAATTTAGGTACTAGTATGCATTACATACATTAGGAAAATTTTTCAAATTTTTCTCTTAATCGCTTTAAAATTATTACTTAGTATCTATTAATTCATAATTAAGCATGACTGAAATTTATATAAGAAATACTTTATTATAAAGCTTAATAATACAAATTTTTCATTTAAATATTATTCTGAATTATAATTGAATAATAAATTTTAAATATTATACTGATTTAAATATTTGTTAGTAATATTTCATTTAACTAACTTAATTTATTATATTATACTTTTATTAATTATATATGAATCGTTAAAAATCGAATTAATTGTATTTATGATTTAAAATTTGTTTTAAATAAAAATACATTTAATTATTTAGGAAGTTAAAATTTAAATACTGATTTATGTTTCTTAATTACAGATTTAGATTTATCAAATACAACTCAATATCCTAGTGCGAATTTCCACGTTGATCATCCAATTATTTTTTGTGTTAGTGGCAATAATGATAACGTCATTTTTGCTGGTAGATATATACATCCATAATTCAAGTACGACTGCACCATAAACTGAACAAATAAAAATGTTTACTTAAATAGATTTTTAATAAATATAATTTTACTTATTTTCATTTAATTGAACATAAATGAATTGTCAAGGAAACTTAATTATTTAAAGAAATCAACTTGTGTTCAAATTTTTTAAAACGTTCTGTAGCACGTGAAATTAAAACGCTGAATAACCATTTTAAGACAATTGCTAAAAAATGAATAATTGTTATTTTTATATTTTTATTATATACGAAATTAACTATGCAATTATTTTATTCAATAAAAATATGACAACTTTACTAAGTAATCCGATTTTCTTAGTCAACCCATTCTTAAAATTAACAGCAACAATTACCAGTATAGTCCATAACCTATAATAGTAAATTTCTACGGTTTATTTCCAAAGTATGGCGTTCAAATCTCATCAATTTAAGAAATTGAAATTGAGAACAAAATTAAATTTAAAAATTCATTAGTGACTAATGCAAAGCAGCACTTTCAGTAAGAAAAAAAAACTTTTTCTATAACACTTTATTGTTATTTTCACAGTAATAAAACTTTTTTTTAAAGAGTTTTAATATATTTGTAACTTATTAATTTTTGAAAAATCTTTAAATTTCATTAAATAAAAAAACATTAATCACTTGTTAATTTTATCTATCATTTACCTTATTGATACTCTTTAAATATACTGCATTAATTGTTTTATATTGTTTCTAACTTTGACCGTTTATGATTTCACAGGGCATAACTAAAAATGATCTCATGCGTTACAATATTTCTCGACCTTGTTTTGGAAAAAATTATATGCAAAGTGAATTTTTAAAGCATTTAGTTTCTTTTAAAATAATACATTTTTTAATAATTTTTTATTGTATTTCGTGAAATACACGTGTATGCATCTATAAAATAATTTTTAGATATATTCTTTACAACTTAAAGGGTTGTCAACTTAAATTTGTTTAATGACAACATACATATTAAACTAGCTTTTATAGAAAATAGAAAATGACTGGTCGATAACCGCTTTTGGACCAATACTTTGGAAATTATTATCATTTTAAAGTATAGACTGGAGGTAGTGCGTATGATGCTATTTTTATTATTAGTCATTTCTCAGCCGCTCTCCTTCTACCTAGGTACAAAATTGTGAATATTCCCTAATGCATTAGTTCAAAAGTTGTTATCGAATAATCATTTTCTTAATTAAATGATTTTCTTTATTAAATAAAAGCTTATTAAATATGTATATTGCTGTTTTTTTTATCGCTTTATTAGTGACCGAGTTTCGCATACGAGAGGGCAGTGCGTATTAAACACTGCCACGTTACCGACTCAGCCACGCCATCCCTCATGTTGCTGTTAAAAAAAAAATGAAGTTTACACCCCTTATAAGTTATAGGTAATGGATCTATAAATTATTTTATAAGAGATGATTAGATTTGCGTATATAACTAACAAAATTAAAAAAATATATAGGTATTATTTTAAAAGAAATCGAATTACTAGCGTTAAAATAACCACCTAGTATATATATATATATATGTGTGTGTGTGTGCAATAAACACTGATATGTCTATAAGATACCTAATTAATATCATTGAAATGATACAATAATTTAAAATAGACATCTACGAGACGTTTGTTTGAGATCTGAGGAATGTCTCATAAGCCACAATATTTTTATTTTTTACGACTATAAAAAATATCTAATTAGAGAAAACTCATCGATTAATATTTAAGGACACTTTATAAATTTGTTATTTATATGAAGGATGCCTTTTACTAAGACATATTAAAGGAGACATTAAATTAATTAATTAAAATGGAAATAATTGAAGAGGTAAATAATATAACGGATATACAATACGGCGATTGTAAAAAAACAAAAAAAGAATCTACGAATTATTCTAGATCCTAATGAGCTGATAAAAAGTATATTAAAGTATAAGAAAGTGCACCAATGTTAAAGTAAATTAAAGTATAATTAGCTAAAAAAAAATATTCCCGATTTTTGATATTGAAAAATATACTGTTTTACGGTTATTTACTGTAAAAATCCGAATTAAAAAAAAACATGTGTTGCTATAGTTTTAATAATACAAAATATTTTAACGTAATTCCAGAAATTTCAATACATTGTAATTATAGTTATACATATAAGCTAAACCAGTAAAAATAAAAATAAAAAATTATTTTAACTACATCTAATATATTTTAAAACATCCAATTTACTTATTGTACCAATTTGTTGTATAGATTGTAAATATTCAAATAAAAGAAAAAAGAAAAAAAACTACATCTTGAGAATAAAATATAGGTTTAAAGTTGACAACATATAACATTATTTCATTTAATGACTAATAATTTATATTAACTCTATAATTATATTTTAAAGCTCTAATTTTTTTTTATACTTTTATAATGAACTTAGAATTGCATTTATTTTGATTAGAAGTATTAACAATTTATATATTTTAATTTATTTAAACGTTTTATTAAATTTTTAATTTGTTAACATTAATAATATTCATTTTCAAAATTTTATCAAATTAAACAGTAACTAACTTTATTTTACATTCATTATTTGAATAATACTTATAACCTATTTGAACACGGCGTCCGGTGGTATCACGCGGGTTAGTTAACGTTCGTGGTTTTGTTTTGTCTTAGGTTTTTAGCTATGTCGAGGATAAGAAATAAGGTGAGTGGACTGTATATTTGAATGTAGAATGAATTTTACAATATAAAATTATAACAATTAAACATATTATACAAAAAATATAAAATCTTATATCCACCAATGTGGGTAGGGGGACACTTAATAGTAATGCCACTAAGGCGATGATATAAACAAATAATAAATTATACAAGTAAGTAAGTCTTAAAAAGATAGATGATTAAACATTATCGTGTCGTAACTCAAAAAAATTAATATAAATAAAATTAAAAAAAATAAAAAAGAATTTGATTAGATTGAAGGTTTGAGTGAGAGTTAGAATAAAAGTGAGAGTTACCTTTGATTCGGGGTGTGATTCGAAGGATATAAAATGACAATATAAATATTCTTACAGATTTAAAAAATCTTACCTAATAATTTTTCTTTAGTTATAATAATAACTTCAGTGATATTATTAATAAAATGATAAATAAAGTAACACAAATTCAAGTTTTAGTTAACAAATTAAGCATGTAAGAACTTCGACAATGATAATCACAATATCCATAATATTACAATATTGTTACGTATCCAGAGCACGAAATGAATAGGGCCGAGAAAGGGCTTGCTCTGCCTTTTTATAAAATTATTTTACCCCCAAAAATCATCATTGTCTTATTCTTACAGTGTAACTGTTATATATATATATATATATAATACAGAAATAATTACAGATGAATAAAATATATAAATATATAAATTTCCTAGAAATAAGGTTAGGGTTAATACAATTCATTTGATTATTAAAATTAGTATAAAAGAGATGACAAAAATAATTTATAGATTTCTTTTCAGCTTTTCAAATTACTTTGTATAACGTTATTATTATATGTTATTATAACATATAATATTATATACAAATTTTTATATCATTATTATATTTAAAATGTCTGTCTGTTTAAAATGAGAATAAAAGTCTAACATTAAGAACTAAAGTGTTCAGTATTAGTTAAATAGAAAAAAATTGAATATATGATTTTTAATTACCAAGTATGTTTTATTGAAGTCCTCTACAGCATTTGACCAATCATACACCGCATCTACTAAAATATAAATTAAAATATTTACAATTTTCTTTTTACTATCATAAAATATAACCTATAGGTACATTTATAAATAACAAATTATAGAAATTTAACACGTCTATTTGAACGTATTCCTGAACTAAATAATTTATGAAAAAATAAATGATTGTTGTCACGATTCAAAATAAATTATTAAATAATTGTTTTATTTATATAAATTCAATATTAATCATTGAAAATTATATATGTCTATTCAATTTTAAAGTAAACCGACCTTCTTTAGATGCTTCTAAAGGAAACGAAATACATGACTTCAAATCATCATGTTCTATAATTTCATCAACTAATGTGATATTTCTATTAGAAATTTGTTCAAATTTACCTTCAGTGGTTATGTGTTTTTTTGTCGCATACGGTTCAGTCTTTTCTTGAGTGTCATTAAGTGTCGTTGAAGGATTAATTCCTTCCTCAACGCAATTATTTACTAAATAAAATTACTAGAAATAAAAAATTGTTTTCATACTTGTAAATTAAACATACCTTTTAAAGGTAATTTCTTTATAGTGTCTAAAAGGGGCTCGTTTGTAGTAGGTAAGAGACAACACTGAGAACCAGTGTGCATATAATTTTTTAATATTGAAATTGAATTATGACGCTCATGCAAAGTTTTTTTATTTGAAATAATATTTTCTAATGAGACGTNTATTAATCATTGAAAATTATATATGTCTATTCAATTTTAAAGTAAACCGACCTTCTTTAGATGCTTCTAAAGGAAACGAAATACATGACTTCAAATCATCATGTTCTATAATTTCATCAACTAATGTGATATTTCTATTAGAAATTTGTTCAAATTTACCTTCAGTGGTTATGTGTTTTTTTGTCACATACGGTTCAGTCTTTTCTTGAGCGTCATTAAGTGTCGTTGAAGGATTAATTACTTCCTCAACGCAATTATTTACTAAATAAAATTACTATAAATAAAAAATTGTTTTCATACTTGTAAATTAAACATACCTTTTAAAGGTAATTTCTTTATAGTGTCTAAAAGGGGCTCGTTTGTAGTAGGTAAGAGACAACACTGAGAACCAGTGTGCATATAATTTTTTAATATTGAAATTGAATTACGACGCTCATGCAAAGATTTTTTATTTGAAATAATATTTTCTAATGACACGTCAGTTTGCGTTTCACAATTTAATGAATTCAGTAAGGACAATTCTGTTTGTGTCTCGGACACATTGAACATAAGTTTAATATTAGTCTGAGTAAGTTTCTCAGAGGTTAATAAAGATGTCTGAACTGCAATGTCTTGAACTTCCTTATTCTGCGACTCCAAAATATGTGCTTCTGGAACAGATTTTATTTGACCGTTTATATCATCTGTCAATCTGTTTGTCNTGGAACAGATTTTATTTGACCGTTTATATCATCTGTCAATTTGTTTGTTTGTGTTCCATAATCTACTGAGGTGACTAAATAAAATAAAAATTAATAACGTAAAAAAAAAAATTATAATGACTGTAACACGTAAGAATTAATCATAAATAGAGAAAATAAATTTAGCAAACGTTCAAATGTGCATAGAATTACCATTGCGTTTTTTCCTTAACCCAAGTTTCTTCTTGGCAATTCTTATTATTCGTGTAATAATATTAACCATTTTTTATCAAAAATTATTGATTTACTTAATTAGATCGAAAATGATTTTTATGTGAAAATCATCATTATTTATAAATATATAAATGGTTGCCATGGAAATGTTATTCAAACCAGAAATACTGCTACAATTATAATATGATAATCTTTTTGGTTATTAATTAATATTCCGGGTAATTCTCAAAAATTGATTTGAACAATTTTTTATTATTCTTTAACATTGAAAATATTCATTTTCAAAATTTTATCTAATTACATACATTTTTGATTTCCTAAAAACTACGATAGTTTAATAAATAGAGAAGAAACTGTGTTTTCTATTCATTATTATAATTCTTTTAATTTTAAATAGATTTGATGGTAGTGTTATTTATGTTTATTTATATCATCGAAAGTTCCAAATAAGGAAATGAACCTTTTGGTTTTCATCAAACGAAATTTTTTTCTTTTCAACTNAAAGCGCCGCGATCGCCATCCAGTAGTAAAGCTGGAGTCGCGATGCGACCGCGACATACTCCCCCCCCAGTCCGGCCGGTCGGCCCATGAGCGCCTAGGACAGCTGGTCCGTTTGCCCGTCCTCCAACTCCGGGAAGTCGGGAACCTCGATGATCGGGGCGTCCAAAACCGCATCTTCGGTCTCCATTCTCTCCGAGAACCGGAACTCTACATCTATGTGCTGCGGGTCCACCTGGTCGTCCCCAAGGAAAACAACTGGTTGAACGCTGCCGATAAAGCGTTCCACACCTTCGCCGGAATGGGACTCACTCCCGACGCCACTTGGTGTCGCGGTGGTCACCTGGGTGGTTGACGCTTCCGCGGTGTTTTTCGGTCGAAACCGGCCATGTTCGTCCCGTTGGCTGTGGCGATGGTTTGGCCGATCTGTTTCCAGCCTGCCCTGTGCCGGCTGATTAAGTCGAGCGGAGGTTTGGCCGGGTCGATGTCGCCGCTGGTTCGACCGCCGGCTAGGTTCGCCCTGCTCCGCGCGACGTTCCGTTAAACCCCGATCGAACGCAGCCCATAAGAGGGATTGGGACCGAAGTTCCCCAATCCCCGCCGTACGGACTCGTTCTCGGGTCCAGGTTGGGAGTTCCTCATATTCTTCCCCCAGCAGTGCCGCCGCTTGCCGCATCAACCTGCGAGCCTGTTGCCGCATGAGGTTTGCGGTTTCGGCCGCAAGCCGGCGAGATGGCCGAAAGGAACGGAGCTCCGCGTTCTGTCTTTGGTTGCTGGACATGCTGTAAAATAGAAAATTTATTAGGATTACCTCCTGAGGCGTCATATTTTATGGCGGTGACATGTAGCTTTAACTGACGCCTTCCTTTAGTCACAAACACTCCCTCACCTAGCCTTTTGGCTAGTTGCACTGGCCCCAGCCATTTAGGGGCAAAGCCGGCGTGAAACTTTTTATCAGCGCTGGATAAGGGATGCGCGCGAAACTACACCCAATCCCCTTCTTTAAAGCGTCTGCGGTGATTTTCGCGGGGTAATTTGTGACCAGTATCTTTTTTATCGGAAGATAACCCGAATTTTTGTGAGGGTTGTTCTCCCCCCCCGGAAATTTTCGTTTTCCTACCGAAGACACCGGAGTTATCGGTTATCACACCGGAGTTATTGTTATTGTCCGGAGTCTTTACGGTAACAATATTTTTCTGTCCGGTCATTTCTATTTGTTTCGGGTTTTTACCCGTAGAAATAATGTCCAGCAGCCAATCGCCGGGGGCTTTGGCTTCTCGCCCAAAGGCCCGCTCAGAGGGAGTGCTCCCTGTTAGCCTGTTCCGACGATTTCTTATTGAAAAAAGTATATTCGGAATACAGCTGTCCCAGTGACTATGTGGTTTGTCAACCAAAGCTGTCCGAAGACCTTTTTTCAAATCCTGGTTTCGGCGTTCTACAGGATTTGCTCTTGGATGGTAAATTGGCGTTGTCCATCCTTCTGTGCCCCACTTCTCCAGTGCTTTCTCCATTGTTTTGGAGACGAACTGTGTTCCATTATCTGAGAGAAGTACTCTAGCATAGCCGAAACGTGAGAAAAATTCTCTTTCTAGAGTGTCGGTAATCGTCTTAGCGGTGGCTTGCCCTAGGGGATATGCTTCTACCCATCTACTGTAGCAGTCAGTTGCTACAAGTAGGCAAGTCTTACCGCGTTGAGATCTTGGGTATGGCCCCATAAGATCAATGCTAACAACCTCCCATGGCTGGCGGGGCTGTCTTGGTCGCATTGGGTCGTCTTGCTTCCGGTTCAACGGTTTAACGCAAGCACAAACGTGACACCTTGCGACATATTGACGTACCGACTCTCTCATACCGGTCCAGAAGAAACGATTACCGATGCTCCGGTAAGTTTCTTTCCATCCTGGATGTCCGGCAGAAACATGATCATGATACCTCCATAGTAGGTGATCTGACATGTCCGACGGAACGACGATAATCTTTCCGTCCGTTCCATTATTTACCGGGTCTTTTAGCAAAATACCATCTTGCAGGTGGTATTCCTGGTGTAAGCGCCGGTAAATTGGTTTGTCACTCCGGAGTTTCCGGACATACTGGGCCAAAGTTGCATCTTCGGCTTGCCAGGTTCTAATGTCGGAAATAGCGATATTCTCCGGGTAAGTTTTTACTCTTTTACCGTTTTTGGCTGGGCTAAAAGAGGTAATATTACCTTGTAAGATTTCTTTCACCAGCTTTTTCTCGGGTAACTTATTGTATTTTGGGTCCTGGTCGGACGCTGAACAATAACCCCGTTTGCTAGGAAAGTTTTCTCCGGTAAATAAATCTGCGGCTCGGACCCTGAGGTCATAAAGTGAGTCCGTATCAGATTTCCTTCGGTTCCGCGCAATACCAGTGATAGGAGTCAACTCCTTCGGAAGTTTTAACGGGAAAGACTGTGGAACTGTTAACAACTCATGTGTTAACTGGTCTTGTTCCAGGTCTTCCAGAGATTTGTTCGGCAAACTGTTCTCGGAGAGAGCCGCTTGTGTTCCTTGGTCAGGACGTTTTGCACTACTCTCCTGTGTTTCCGAAACTTCTCTTTTTGCCGTACGTTTCTTCCGNTGCACTACTCTCCTGTGTTTCCGAAACTTCTCTTTTTGTCGTACGTTTCTTCCGTGTGTGCTCCGTTTCTCCGGATTTGATAGCGGCGAGCTGCATATTTTTACGCTTCTCCGGTGCCTTTTTGGGTTCCTGGTCGGAAACTTTGGTACCGGGCTTGCGCTTACGGTTCTTTGGGCGGGCTAGTTTTTCTTGTCCGGTCGGTTTCCCGTGAACCGTCCGGAACTCTTCCCGTTTCCCGTACTCGCCGTTTTTCTTTCCGGGCAATTCGCCCACCAGTGCCCAGTCCGGTTGCAGTTTTTACAACGTGCCGCTCCGGACGGGCTTTTTTCCGGTCTAATAACCTCTTTCTCCGGTGGCGGTTTCTTATTTGCCCATTTGAAGCTATTCCCTTCCGCGGAATACTTCTTTTCTTCGGGCCGCCGTTCCGGAGAAAGGTCCTCAACGTCCAAGTCGCTAGCCAGCTCTAGCAGATCTTCCATTGACCTCGGGCGTCTCACTCTTGCGTGGACCCGATAGTCACTGCGCATAAGCCCTATGATTAGGTCGACCAACTCGTACTCTGTGAGCCTTGAGTCGAGACGACGGGCTAGCTGGCTCTTCCACATTACAAACTCCCCTAGGGATTGACGTTCGCCTTGGTGAGCACTGTGGAGATCATTGCGTACTTGGGTAAGTATAGCAATGCTATTGAACCTCCTCAAAAATTGTTGTCGGAACACTGTCCATGTGGGGTTCAAGCAGCGTATAGTACCCCACCAGTTACCTGCCTCTGCTTTTAACTGTGGGGACAGTACACGTACCCACTTCTGGTGTGGTACGTTCGCTTCGGTTAGGACCATTTCAGCCTCTTCGATGAAAGCGTTGGGGTCCTCTTGTTTCTTTCCGGAAAACTCCGGCAGAGAATCACGCGCCAACGTTAGACTGTCGTGGGACAGTAGCGACGTTTCGTTAAAAGTAACGTGTCGTTGCTCCCTGGTCCTATTGTCCGGATGGGAACGACTTTCAGATCGTTCTACTCCGTTATTACCGGTCATTCCTTGGTTTGAAACAAAAATGTGGTGTTTCTGACCGAAGGAACTCGAATTTTCACCGGAGAACTGTATGTTCTGGTGATGTTCCTCGGTCGTCCGGTTACTTTCACCGGCAGAATTTTTGTTTACACCGGAAGAACAGAAACTTTCACCGGAGAATTGTCTGTTTCGGTGCTGTTCTTCCGAAATCCGGTCTAATCCACCGAAGAAAACAGAATTTTCACCGGCGTAGGGGGGTCCCGGTCGGTGTAACCCGGGGTACCGGCCGTTTTCACGGGGCGAATTTATTTTTTCGCCGAAGAACTGTTTTCTACTGTATAGTTCCGCCGAAGTATCCCGTAATTCACCGGAGAACTGATTTGCAGTCCGAAGCTCCGGTGGGGGGGATGGGGGGTCCTCTCGAACTGCTCGGTCGGAATTTTCCGGGACGGCCATCTGCTCACCCCCTTCCGATCGGAGTTGTGAATTCTCGGGTCTGTCCGCTATAACTCGCCTAAGCGTGTGGTGTGGCGGCAGGGTTCCCCTATTGGTACTGCAAGGTACCCCCTGTACTTCGCAAGCAGACAAGTTGACTTGCTTTATCAAGTCGTTCAACTTTGTCTCAAGCTGAGCAATGTGTTCGCGCTGTTGGGCGACTATTGCTTCTAGCTCCTCGTTCCGCTTCGCATTATCCTCGACGTACCCGCATAACATCATATACGTGTCATATGACAGTGACCAGCTGTCTCGGTCGTCTTCGGAACGGCGATCGTCATCTTCCGGTTGCCCGGGCCTCCCGTTAGGGATATCGTCATCTTGGGGTGGAGGATTACTTGGTTTTTCGGGGTGAAATTTGACGCTTGCCGCGTTAACCCCCTCCTCCTGGCTTAGAAAGTCTTCCAGCCGAACCATAAGGTCGGCTTTAGAACCCCCAGTAGCGAGACCCCGTCGTGACAGCTCCCCTTGCAACTCTCTTATCGTCAGCTCAAGTATGCTCTTACCTGACATATTGAGTGCTGATATTCTAATAATAACAGATAAGTAGGTCAATGGGGATAAGCTAATGCGCTGATCACGTGATCGGGAAGTGGACTTGTCTATAAGATATTTTTAGCACAAACCACGTTAGGAAATTCTCCTGTATAATAAGTCTATCTCTAATTATATAGCTTATATACACCTTAACCCCAAAAATTAATAAGCTTATGGCTAATTAAGTCTTAAAAATTTCTTTTCCTGGGATTTACTACGCTTTTAGCCAGTTAAAGCTGTAGGTTCTATATTTTGCAAATATTTTATTAAGGGTGCTACAAATAATAATTGCTTTAATTATTTAGCACATACCTTAATAACTTCTTAGTCTGCAAAAAAAAATATTCCTTTTCGACTGCGCCAANTGCAAAAAAAAATATTCCTTTTCGACTGCGCCAATGTTGCGGTTGTTAGGTGATATTTTAATAATTATAATAATTAATTACACCGTATTTAACTTTATATTAATATATATTTAACTTTTTATATATAAGAACTTAAACAACAGTATTACAACACACTAGACAAAATTCTATATGGTCAAACATTAATTCTTATATGTATCTTGTGATAGGTAGTAGCCGGCGGCCTGGACCGGTTCTAGCCGTCCGTCGGCCACTCCGTATGGCGCGACCTGCCGGACGTAAAGGGAAAGCGCCGCGATCGCCATCCAGTGGTAAAGCTGGAGTCGCGATGCGACCGCGACAAACTAATATGCTAAAGCTTATAGATTGAAAGTCGCGAGAAAAAATTCTGTATAGTAGACTCGTGACACAATAGAGTTGTAGCTAAGTTGAAACATGTATTAAATATAAATAATATATTCACTTGAATGCTAATTGTTAATTTTTTTAACACAACGTACATTTGAATGGCTTTTATTTGACCTACGACAATAAATTATACTTGGGTTCTTGTGCCATATAGATATTAAAAAGTTATCAATATTATTGAACATCTAACTTTTTTAATACCTTTTTTCTATATTAAAGTTTGATTTACTACATATTTATTAAATAAAATATTAAAATATAATTTTTTCTCGGTTTAGAAACGAGTGAGTAGAGGTTTTTACGAGAAGATAAGGAATATAAAAAAACAAAATAATATCTGAAAATTTATTAATATTACAATAATTTGAAAAAAAAATTATTGTGATTAATTATCATTCAAATATAGTATCAAATAGGACACTCATACCAGAAGTTATCAAAAACTAAATTGACAGTGAGTCATATAAATATATACTTGGAGTAGCATAGGGATCACAAGTTGGTTCTCTAACTTTGCAAGAGAATTTTTATTTGTATTGACCACACAGGTAACCAACCAAAAAATTGGATTAGTATGGTTAAGTTCGTACAAACGTTATCGATTTTATTTAAACAATTTTATCTCCTGTAAAATATAAATTTACCTTTGTGATTTTTGAAATAAATATATATTGTTTTTTTATGGTGTATAGTATGTACCAGACCACTAGTTAAAAAATCATAATGTGAAGGAATGAGCAGAAGTGATTTTTGTGTGTCCTTTTATTTTAAATTTAACTCTAATTATCTTATTATCCGCATATGCAAGAAGTCTCACGACCTTTCCAGCCGAGGTGTCAGAATGTGCTTACCGTTGATAATGGTAACATTGTTTCAAATTACGTATTCATATAGATGGTAGCTACAATATGAACATAACACACAAATTATAATTTTTAAATTGGATTTAAATTTTAAATCCAATAGTAACATGAAAAATTAACTATAATTAAAAATACTTATAATTACATAAGAATTACAATCCACATCAATCAGTATTTTCATAGCCCTAAAACTGTTAATGACATATAATAAACTTCATAATTAGTAATTTTTAAACAAAAACTTTAACTCAAGCAGGTTAATACAAAATTAATAATTTAATTTTCATTGATTGATATTATATTAAGTTCTTTAAACATAATACCGTTTAAATAGCTATATAATTTTATGAAAAAAATGGCAAGAAATTCTGAATCTCTAATACTTACAATATTAATCATTTTTAATTTACAATTAATAAAATATTTTAAAAATTGTCAGTTAAAATAAAACATAAGTATAATAATAATTACTGGTTTATCAAAATAAAGTGTATAGTATGAACTATAAATATAGAAATGTATTAACTCGATAAAAATAACAATATTATAGTGTACAAAATACAACTATATTTGTCACATAAATATAATATTACTGTAATAATAACACAAAGTTTATTCAAATAAAAAATGTAGTTTGCAGTCTCTTAAGTTTAAGGATTTTGAACTCTTCCCATAAATATGACATCATTCTTGTCACTAATAACAGCAATAATAAATGGATGATTTGCAATGAAATTGACTTGATGGAATGATGAATACAATTCCATAATAATACCTAAATATTTTTATAGAAAAAAGTACAATTAAAATTATAGTACTATTATAAATAAAATAAACTAATAAAATTTTACTTAAATTGGTCTGTTATTAAATTTTTTCTCTAGAATAAGAGAACAATTTTTTTTATTTATTATGATTCAAATTGTTCCTAACAAATACTATTTATTTCTAGAACTGAATAAGGTTTGGATAAGGATAGGAGTATAATAACCCTCTAATAACCCATAACATAAATAATGGGAATTTTCGAATTATCATTGACAAACAAATTTTTAATAAGAAGAAAAACGCTATAAATTTATTAAAAAGATAACATTGATGACTAAAAAAAGCATAAACTTTCCTAATGAATTTTGTTGGTTCTGGACTAAGTTACATTTGTTTATTAAATATAGGTTTTTTTCGTAAAAAAATGTAATTTTTTTAAAATAAATTATTTGAATAAAAATAAAACTATAAAATAAACAAGAAAAATACTATGAATACAAAAAGATGTATTATATAAAATGTACTTTTTAATTAAATAGACTTAATAATATAGGTGAATTTAAGAAAATAAAAGTTGGTTTAAACGATTTTTCCTCCTACAAATATATATTTTATACAAATTTTGGGAACTTTGGGAAATTTTAAGATATCAAGTCTCCCTAAGAACTTTGATTTACATCCATGGATTTAATACAAGTAAGGTAAAACAGTAGGGTCAATCCATGCCAAATCATCCAGAAGTGGTTGCACGACCACCTCATATTTTTCTTAAATATTCAGAGTTTATTATTTATGCTATAATTAGATTTAATCTAATTTTTTTTTTTTTTTATGACCTTCCGATTTTTATGGCTATTTTAATGTAAAAAATGTTAAAAATAGCCAGAACGTTAAAAAACACACAGATTATTCAATATTAACTCAATCGACTTAAAATTTTAGGATTGACCTTATTATAACTTATATTTAACATTAAAAAAAAAAAAAAAAAAAAATTTATGTGAAATTTCAAACTTAAATGACTTTCTAAAAATGGTGCTTTTTTTGAGAAAATTGGCGTTTTTGAGCTCACCTAAAACCATTAAGAAGTTATTATTTTATAGTGATTTTCAAATGTGGTATTGTATAGTATATAATCTATGTTCCAACTAAATTTCAAATATTTAAAACAATTTTCTTGGGATTTAGAGGCCTACAAAGTTAGAAATTTTATAAAAAGACACATATTCTAGGTGCATTATCTCTGTTGGGGGACCTAATTTCAAAAAATTTTTTTTTAAATTTTTTAGCTATATATCTGCTTAATACACCATAAAAATTTGAAGTTTGAGAAAAAAGTTTAACATGTAAAATTTAGCATTAGAAAATCAGTAAAAATCCGTTCAAAATCATGTAATTTAATGATAGTTTTTTGTTGTTTTCAAACCATATTTTTGTAATTTTTTTATATATTACTGTATATGTAATATATTACAATACAATGTAACTATTATATATTATAATTATTACATATAAATTTTTCTTTGAGAATTGTGTATAGGTTTTATAGGTTGTATTGTGGATATTTTAAATTTTAAATCTAATGATTTGGCGTTGTTTGTCTTTATAGATATTTATTTAGATAATCTTATTCTGATATAGATTAGCAAGATTAATTAAATTTATGACAATCTTTATTTGCTTATCATAATAATGAAAAGAAAAATTATTATTTTTCAGAAAATTATAATTTTGTAGTACATGATGAAATTCAAAGCTTCACTTGGTTAATAAACAAGTCACTCTTCATCCCTTTGTTTATTATTAGAAAATAGAAAATATAATTAAGTGTCGATGTATATGCATAATTAGTGATCACATGGAACATAATAGCGTTGCTGTACATACATTTCAAAATCACCTTATACAAGACATTAGATTATCATTAGACGTTACCCTACTGTTTTACCTTACTTGTATTAAATCCATGGATGTAAATCAAAGTTCTTAGGGAGACTTGATATCTTAAAATTTCCCAAAGTTCCCAAAATTTGTATAAAATATATATTTGTAGGAGGAAAAATCGTTTAAACCAACTTTTATTTTCTTAAATTCACCTATATTATTAAGTCTATTTAATTAAAAAGTACATTTTATATAATACATCTTTTTGTATTCATAGTATTTTTCTTGTTTATTTTATAGTTTTATTTTTATTCAAATAATTTATTTTAAAAAAATTACATTTTTTTACGAAAAAAACCTATATTTAATAAACAAATGTAACTTAGTCCAGAACCAACAAAATTCATTAGGAAAGTTTATGCTTTTTTTAGTCATCAATGTTATCTTTTTAATAAATTTATAGCGTTTTTCTTCTTATTAAAAATTTGTTTGTCAATGATAATTCGAAAATTCCCATTATTTATGTTATGGGTTATTAGAGGGTTATTATACTCCTATCCTTATCCAAACCTTATTCAGTTCTAGAAATAAATAGTATTTGTTAGGAACAATTTGAATCATAATAAATAAAAAAAATTGTTTTAATCTAATTATAGCATAAATAATAAACCCTGAAAATTTAAGAAAAATATGAGGTGGTCGTGCAACCACTTCTGGATGATTTGGCATGGATTGACCCAGTAAATAATAAAAAATTACCAGTAGAAGCTGCAGCTTCTGTTCCTTGCTCATTAACATCAATGTATGCTTTGTGATTAACACTGCTAACAAATAAAGGTTTCTCAGTGCGATTATACATTTCAGAAAAGTTTGCATCTCCAGAAAACATTGAAGAACATCCAAGCTATGTATATTGATAAGTTTTTGCATGAATATTAATATTTAAATTTTTGTTTTTAAGAGATAGTAACATAAATAATGAATCCTTACTTCAACTAGTACATTTTTAAGATCAATGGATTTTTCCAATTTAAATCTTGGCAATTTAACACTAACTTCAAAAGTATCCATATTTTCTAAGAGTACACTAAATCTAATCTTGGATAAATGATTTTCTAAGTTTCTTAATCCATCAATCGCATCAGGTAATAATATTACCATTTTAAACTTCAAATCCTAAATAATTAAAAATATATAGTTAATTAAACATTAATGATCTGATAAATAGTTTTTAAAAGAAATTTACTAAATAGTCTAAACGAAGTGCAGAATAATTCAACTCATTGTCATGGTAATATTGAAGCTGAAGATTTTCAAGGCTCATCATATTAACTTTTTTTGTTTTATTAGGAGTCAAATAAAATAGTTCATCTTTAGCTTGTTCAAATTTTATTTCCCATCCACTCTTAAAATGTACAGCATTTGCTAACACCAAAGCAGTATCAGAAGTTACTGAATCTAAAAATAAAATAACATATAAACAAGATAGATTCCATTAAAATTCCTATAAATGTATAATTTTGATCAATATTTTTCTTGATCATACAAAACTTTTATTCAAATGAATTTACTAGTATCATACAATTAATGTTAGAGTTAATTCTAAAACTAAATTAAACTTATGAAATAAAAACTTAAAAGTTACCTGCGGGCAATAATTCCTGAATTTTTTTATTTGTTTTTTTTGAAATCCACTTATTAATATATAGACGTTGTTCTTCTGGACTACTTGCAAAGTTTAGTCTTTCTGTAGTGGCTTGAAGATAATTACTTATATTATTTAAATACTTTTGGTTTAATTTGAATGAATTGTCAGCAAATAATCCAGTTGCTATTTTAATCTCATCTTGATCCTAAAAAAAATTATAAATCAATATGATGAAGTAAAGTGATTATAAATACATTTTTTCTTTTAGAATATTTAGCAGATTTTATTTTACATTGAAAAATACTGGTCCTTGTATATATTAATATCATATGAGATGCAAGTTTAAAATAACAACTTGTGCATGTATATAAAAAAATTCATTTAAAATTACCCCACTTCATCCTATCTTTTATATAATTAGAATTTTTACAAAATTGCATTTATTGTAAATTTTTAGAAAACTATGATAAAAATGCTCAGCACACTATAGCTTTAACAGATTGTATTTATGAAAAAGACACCAAATAAATATTGCCTTGAAGCGCTAAAACCTTTAATATACTACTGAATATAATGTTAGACTTTTACTCGCTATTAACAATAGAATAGAAAAACACGTGGATCTTAGAACTATCACTTTTTAGGCTAAATACATACACTAAACATTTTTATTTAAATAAAATCTAATATAATTTAATTTAATTGCTAAGACTAAAAATAAAAAATCTTTTAATTTTATTGAATTAAAAATATTGATGTATAACTAAGTAAAAGAAGATTAGAGAAACTAAAATTAATCAGTTTGATTCCATGATTAAAATTCTAAAATGCTCACTTTGAAGTTTTTCAAAATATTTTGATATGACTCTAGTAGTTCAGTAGCATTGTTTTTAGATATATGTAGTGCATTGAACATTTCATTAAATGTCTTTGAAGCAGCTCCAATGCTAGCCATAAACATGACCACATGGATGCTAAAAGGAGAGAATATTATATTGCCATCTTGGTTGCTTAATTGCTAAAAACGAATAACAAATAAATAAAAAATTAATTTAATTGAAATTTTAAATGATATTTACTCAAAGAGTATAATGATGTTGCAAAGTCATTATTTGCTAAGCGAAGAGATTCTATGTTAGTAATAGCAATTGCCATATTAGTCACAATTTTTATGATTTGTTTATAAAATAGCTGTATTGTGAAAAAATAACAACACTGAACTATTATTTATCATAAACAACAATATAGTAGTGAAAATTGTTTTACTTCTAAAAAAGGTTTTATATAGGCGATATCTATTCTTACAACATTACTGATTACAGTGTTGAAACTGAATACTGCATTGCATGAAATAACTAATTAGCATTAAATGATTAAAAATGAACTTGGAACCATTCCATTTAGCTGCAAATTACTAATAAAGTATAATCAATAATATACTGATAACCATTTTTACCAAACAAAGATTTTTCCAACATTAACATGACAAAAATACTTTTAACCATCACTAAATTTTAGAAAAAAATATGTTTAAGTTCTCAATAGTATTTATTATATTTGACCCACATTTAAAAACCAGTTGTAAATAATGGATACTAGCTAACTGCCAGATATGATTTGTGAAATTTGATTAGTTAACTTTAATTGATGACTCTCATATATTAATCTGGTTTAACACAGTAATTAAACAATCCTAAATTAATATTTACAAGTAACCCTGTAACAATTTGAGCATTCCTTATGTTCGTTTGTTAATATACATTTTAAAAAAATGTAGGCGAGGTTCTGTTATATGAAAATTGGTTTTTTAAACTCATATATATGTAAATAATATTAACTAGGTATTTTTGTATTTAATTTAATATTATAGAACAAACTAATGGTTTAAGTATGTATGGAATTGTATAAATTAAATTTTAATTTTTTCAGAGTTCATTAAAGTAAAGGAAATAATTCTTTTCCAATGACAAGTCTCTAAATTTGATGATATTCATATTCTAATCTACGGTTTGAAGATGCAAATTTCAAATAAAATCTTCTCATAATTTTATTTGGAATAAATAATGATTTTTTTTTTGTTCATTATAATTTATAGATACTTCTAAGAATATCCAAATCTTAAAGTATTGAGTGCTTCAATACATCTTCTAAAACCGATAGATACAGCATTATTAACTTCGATGCGAAGCTGAAAAGGTATTAATTTTACAATGCTGTGTTTATTTATTTTTTTTGTGGTTAGGGAGTCTGTCACTACTTTTACTCAGCTCTCACTGAACCGATATTTTTAACGATACGTAAAAGATCACAAATCGTATCTAGTTAAAGACATTACTCAAAAAGTGTAAATTTTTCCTCCGTTCTCCGTAAATGGTGGAACTCCCCCCAAAATTACGATTTTAAAAATTTCGTCATTTTCAAAATTTTTTGTATTAAATATCTATCACTTATTTAAAAATAAACGAATCAAAACTATTATTTTTATATAAATACCTTAGGTATTTTCCTTTTGTTTAATATAATTGTTTTTAATATCTGACCCTTTACTAGCCCACAGGGGTTTTTTCAATATAGCAACTTTTGCCCATTAATTTAACTTTTTCAACTTTAGTTTAGATAATTTTCCGGAAATACTACATCCTTTAAACATATGTTAAATTAAAGCTTCTGTTACATACTATGATTAAATATATATATATCCCGATAACTTATTTTTCTATGAGAAAATGATAGTAGTAGTGAAAAAATATGGTATTTTGTGTTAAAATGTGTGATTTTCAATTTTATATTTTCAACATTAAATTGTTATAACTTTTTGAAAAATGTATAGGTTAACACAAATTTACTTTTCTAAATAGTCTATACATACTCCTTTGATCTTACATACTTTTTTTAAAAGTCAGAGCATTTGCCTTTAAACAGGAGGGAGGGTTTAAAACTTTAAATTATCAAGTAAAAGTAGAACTTTTGGAACTTAACTTTTGAAATACTACGTCTTATAAACATATGTTAAATTAAAGTTTATGTTACGTACTATAAGAAAAAAAAAATTTGTTTCAAAGATATATCTTCTTTATGCAAATGGCTGTCGAAGTTGAACAAAAAATTCTTATAATTTTAATATATAAATACTCATTTTTTACTAATTAGCAATAATATCTATAAGGAAATAGAAGTTTATGTTGTTTGTGTAATTATCTACCAATTTCTTAGAATTAAACACTATATATATTGAAGCGTTTCTTATGATAATGATTAAAATCACTATCATAAAACAAATGTTTATTTTTAAATGACTACTGTAGAAAATCTAAGTATATTGATAATATCTTAATAACGCCTTAAAAAAAGAACCCTCATTCATGATGTGTTTTTTTTTTTTTTTTTTTTTTTTTTTTTTTTTTTTT